TTGCCTGGATTCCAAAGGCTTTGCAGGTTTGCCCCTCTAGTTAGTGATGCCAGGGCTCCTTTAGCCACTTCCAAGGCGGGGAGGGAAGGGTGAGAAGGGACTCCTTACTTACAAAATTAAGCAATGTTAGTCTTAGCGCAGGTGACCAAAAAGGCCATGGCCTCATTTACTGCAAATCTACCCAATGCATCATGAAACAATCCTATGAAATTATTTGTCCGTCTCATTCTCCGAAAAACATAAACCCAGAGTCAGCCCATGGTGATGACCCTTCTTGTGAGCTTGGTAGGAAGATTTGCTAATTTGCACCCTATTTCGACACAGATCACGGTGTGTGTGTGTGTGTGTGTGTGTGTGTGTGTACACACATATATAAATCTATATATGATAAATACATATATATATATATCGAAGACTATAAAAAGGAAGCTTCCAGAGAGAATTTGTTAGGCTCTCCAGTTGGAAGAAATCACTCTCAGACTCTGAGGTTTCCCACGCAGACTTTAGCACGATCAATAAAGCACCAGCCTTCAACCGCTCATATCCTTCGCTAGTCCAAAGAATGGCCTTTATTATGCGTGACCCATTGCTTTTCATATTCACATAATCTTCCATTGCTTAATCGCTATTCTAATGCTGCACTCTGGTTCTACTTCTCCCACTGGGGCTTTAGAAAATTCCAGGAGCTTGTTTAGACTTTTAGAACAAATATTCCTCAACATGATTTTGCCCAACGCTGCATTGTCCTGTGGTCTTGGGGATTAGGGATGTCTTCTTGGAGAAAGAATCACTCTCCTTTGTCCTTTGCATCTCTTGGGGCCTCTGAAATATAATCCAGGGGGCAGTTGTTTGTGCTCAGCCTCAATGCTATTTCTACTTTTCCAAGGTGAAACTGCAGCTGTGAGGAATCCATGGCTTGCCTTTTGTTCATTCCACAAGCATTTCTCAAGTACCTATAGGATGCCAGGGATTTTGTCCAAAGAGCCAAGTAGATAGCATGAAAGTGTCAAGAGTTGCTATGAACAGCTCCCTCCCGGTTTTAAATGATCATAATGGGTACAGAGAGAGAACTACACACACCTTTGTCGCTGAAAGCATCCTACATTTCTATGACCAGATTTACTCTTTTTCAAAGTAGAGCACAACTCTTTTCTGGTTGCATCATGACAAAACTGTGATGTAGCAGCTCATGTTCTTCTCAGGAGCTTCCCTGCTCAGGGTCTCCTGCCCTTCAGTAGAGTAAGACCCAGGCAATTTCGTGACTCCATCTCTTCCAGCTAGGGGTCCTTACTAGCGCCTCTTGGGGCACTGACCAGATGTGCATCTTGAAAAACTTGCTCTGGTTGCACGAAGGATTTTAGGGGCAAGGGGAAGACTCGGGTTGCTTCTTGATATTTGCATCTGATTAGGGAGAAACTAACTGGAACTAGGGAGACAGTGGGGTGGGGGCAATGCTCAAGACATTGAACCAGCCAGCTGTGGGTTGTAGGAACACAGGGGCAGTGGTAGAATGTGGGGGTCAGGGATGATGTGGTGGAAGCAAGGGCGTTCTCACAGCACTTCCAGAGAAACTGCAGATGAGAACACTGTTCTCGACTTAGACATCTAACCAAGTGTTCGGGCTCAGTGGATGTCCAGCTCATCCTCCGATGCTTTGGATGGGCGAGGTCGGCAGGTATCTTCTTCATGGTTGAAGAAAGCAAGCTCCACCAGTGTGGTGGCAAAATGGGGTCTTGAGCCTCAGTACTTGCCTGAGTCGTTTCGACCATTGAGGTAGACAAACCAAATTTTCCTTCCTACTGCATTTTTTTTTCAGGCGAATAACCCAGCAAGCAAATGGTGGACCTTCAGTGCTGTTAACGGTACCATCCATCTTAAGGAACTGCACTGTCAAATCACTCTTTCATTCAGCTGGTACAGAGACCAAACGCATTTTTAAGCATCCATTAAATTCAGTGCCGCATCTCTATGTTTATTTCAGTGCTTTTCAGCCTTGGCAAAGCTGACATTTTGAGCCCAGTAGTTCATTGCGTAGGGTGGGGTGGGCAGGGCGGCCTGTTCTGTGCAGTAGAAGATGCCCCGCACCATCCGTAGATCCCAGTAGCACACTCCCACCTCCAGCTGGGACAACCACAATGGCCTCTAGACATTGCTGTATGTCCTCTGGGGACACAGTCACCTTTAGTTGAGATTCAGTGGTCTATCTGATGTACACACATGGTTTTAAGACAATGGGACTTGGAGTCTATAATAAGGAGATGTGAAGAAAAAGAAAGAAAACATAACACTTGAAGTATTACATGCACTATTCAGTGAATAAACACACTGAACTTCAGAGAGAGACTGATGACCTCTAACTCTGCACACATATTGGGAGTGTAGCAATTAGTCACTCCAGTTTCAATGGGCACAGCTTTAACCACCTTTTCCTGCCATTAGAAGTGCATGTGGGATGTCCCTGCCATGTTAGGTGCCTTGGCTGGGGTTAAGGCTTATGTGAAATGGCCTTTCCCAACAGGCCTCCTGTGCTTGCCTTCATTAGCCGCCACCCAACTATTACAGACCTCGACTGCCCTCCGGGAACATGCACCACAGGCCCTGTTTCATGACAGCCCATGTGATTAAGTCCCCCGACTTCTTAGGCAGATTTACAGCACCGTGTCTCAGCTCTATAATAAATTATTGGAAGCAATTTGGAGCATCTGATGAAATATCATTTGTTCCAAACAACTCCCTGGTGTTCCATAATTATGTTTTATCTCTTATCTATAGCCATGGGAAGAAGTAGACAGTTTCATGGTGTCTCTAGCTCAGATAAATCTACAGGCATGTGTGCTTACAATGTCGCAGGAGTAGACGCTTGACTTTAAGCCAGTGCTATGGAGTCTACACTCCAAGATGCACACAGTGTGATCTCTCAGACCTCTGTATATGACTTTTTCACTCGTTTGCTATAAAAACCTACTATGGCCTTTGGATCTAGGGCAACTTTCTGGAGAGGACTGGTGAGATCTGTCATGACCGGACCCTGCTGGGCTATTCAGCTCCATCGGGTGCCATGTTTTCCTTCACTCGACACCCCAGTGCTGTGGAAACCATCCCATCCCTGCCCCTCTCTAATCTCAGTTGTCCTCTCCTCACCCTGCCCATCTTTCTCTTCTGCAGGCAGTCTGGCCTCTCTGATGCCCTGCTGGCTTTGGTGCTTCACCCTTCCCTCTGCCAGGAAATGCTCTTCCCCGAGATAGTCTCCTGGCTCCTGCCCTGACTTCCTTCAAATCTTTGTTCTGATATTAACTTCTCCGTGAGACCTCTCCTGACTACTCACCTCCCCTACCATCTTCCCACCCCACCCCCAGCCAGTCTTGCCCAGGTTGAGCCTTTTCCCTAATGCTTAGTAGTTTGCCCAAGTGCTTTTTGGGTCTTTTCACATGCATTTTCTCTGTTAGAATAGAAGCTTCATGAAGATAAGACACTTGGCTCTTTGGCACCTTGGCATGTGCAAGCACTCTGCACCTCTAGATGAACTCCAATCCCTAATCTTTCCATTAGCAGCCAGGCGGTTCACAGTTTGTACCACCCTGAAAACCTGT